GGGCAGAAGGGCACCCAGGGTGGAAGGGGAGGGGGGCACCCAGGTCGAGGAAGGTCAGGGTGTGGAGCGGAGGGAAGCGGACACCCTGGGCGGGGGGGTGCAGAGGGGACGGGGAGGAAGGATGAAATACCCAGGGTGTGGAGCCGGGGGGTGTCAGGCTGTGGCGCGAGGGGAGTAGAGGGGTCCCAGCCCCAGGACGGTGTCCGGAGAGCACCCCCCGTCTGGCGGGCCGGGCCGGGCCGGGCCGGGCCGCGCCGCGCATGTCCCCAGCGCCCTCTCCGCTCGCAGAGGCAGGGCCGGGAGGGATAAAGGGCCGCTGCGGCCTCCAGCTGATCCGCGCCCCCGGCCCGGGACCCGCCGAGCGGCACAAGCCGCGGAGGGGAAGGGGGAGGGGGAGCAGCGCGCGGTGCCCGAACCCGGTAACGCGGCCGGGACAGGGGGCTGGTTACCTGGGCGACAAGAGCCGGAAGAGTCCGACAGCGGAAAGCACCGGAGCAGCCACTGACAGCTCCCAGCATGCAGCGCGGCTTCCCGTTTCTTCCTCTCCTCCCATCAGGCCGCCTGCGCCACAGCGCCCCCTGCCGGTCCTGAGGCAGCGCAGGGCTTTGCCCCCGGCTGCCTGAAGCATGGGTGCATGTGTGAGAGACTGTGTCTCTTCGCAGTGATTCTCAAACTTTTGTACTGGTGACCCCTTTCACACAGCAAGCCTCCGAGTGCGACCGTCCCCTTATGAATTAAAAAGACTTTTTTACATATTTAACACCATTATAAATGCTGGAGGCAAAGCAGTGTTTGGGGTTGAAGCTGACAGCTAGCGACCTGCCCACATAATAACCTCACGACCCCCTGAGGGGTCCCGACCCCCAGTTTGAGAACCCCTGGTGTAGGGGTTGCATGCATTCCGTGTATGCATGACTGTAGGGAAGTGTGTACAGTGCATGCATGCATTGTATGTATTTGTGTGTAGGTAGGTAAGAGACTGTGTGTCTTTGTGTAGGAAGGTGCATGTATTGCCGCATGTGTGTATTCCTGTGTAAATAAAATTTGCAGCCTAAGTCTTTGACTTTTAATCCTTTTATTGGCTTGTGCACACAAAAAATTGATGACATAAAATGTGTGTGTTCATTTCATAACATGTTTTTAAAAGAGAAGAGAACTCTAAAAAAAGAATTGTTTCTTACAAAGTAAATGTCCTTGACTAGTAATTGTAGAAGAGCCAATGTATCATGCATTTCTCCCCACCTTTTTCTAGCTACATTAAATTACTCCTGAGAGAATTCTGCGCCACTGCAGAATGCAGTTTTGCAGAATTCCTTGTTTCCCCAGCAGAATTTCTGGCTGCCACTAGAGGCCGCTGGACTCTGCAGAGCCCAGCTTGCAGTGAGCAAAGTGCCCAGTCACATTCATTGACCCTCACTCTCCTGGGATGGGAGAAGGCCTGGGAGACCCAGCCAGCTCTGGCAAAGGGTGAGGAAGGGCAGGGCCTCAGCACGCCATGTACCTGGGTGTGACAGTAAAGCATCTGGGGGGAGTAAAGGCTCTGGGAGTGCTGGTGCCTGGGCTGGGGACTAAACCGTGGCTGGGCTCGGGGGGAGGCTGGTGTATGGGGGCTGCCCCGCGGCTGGGCTCTGGGGCTGCCCCGCGACTGGCCTCTGGGGGGAGGGCAGCTGGTGTCTGGGGGGTTCCCCATGGCTGGACTTTGTGGGGAAGAGGAGGATGGTGGTGTCTGAGCCAGGGGCTGCCCCATGGCTATGCTCTGGGGGGAAAGGGGTGTGGGTATCTGGGCTGGGTGGTGCCCAAATAAAATATGCAGAATTTTGCAGAATTTTAAAATATTGTGCACAGATTTTTTAATATTTTGGTGCAGAATTCCCCCAGGAGTAACATTATAAATAAGGCAACATTTTAGTCATGGGTATTTTTAGTAAAAGTCATGGACAGGTCACAGGCAGTAAACAAAAATTCACAGCCCGTGACCTGTCCATTACTTTTACTATATACCCCTAACTAAAACTTGGGCGGGGAGCCGCAGGTGCTCTGGGGGATGTGGTCCAGGTACTGGTGCTGGGGGAAACAGGGGTTGGCAGCAGCGTGCGGCCCAGGACTCCCACTGGTGCTGGGGTGGGAGGGTTGGTGGGCCTGGCAGGGGCTCCCTATCCGGCTCCACGTATCCCTGCAGCTCTGAGGTGGAAGAGGGGTCAGGGGGCTCTGCACGCTGCTCCCGCCACAAACGCCGGCTGCGAAGCTCCCATTGGCCGGAAACTGCAGCCAATGGGAGCTGCAGGGGCGGAGCCTGCGGGTGAGGGCAGCACGCAGAACCCCCTGGCTTCTCCACCTAGGAGAAGCTGCAGGGCCATGCCAGTGGGAGCTGGGGAGTCAACCAACCTGAGGTAAGCCCTCCCCTAGCCCTGAGCCCCCTCCCAAACACCCAAACTGCTGCTTCTGCTGGTCACTGAAGAAGTCACAGAAAGTCACGGAATCTGTGACTTCTGTGACCTCCATGACAGTCTCACAGCCTTAATTATAAATTCTTTGTTGCTGACTCTTTTTGTGTGAATGTCCAGCACCTACCATAGTGGGGCCCTAATCTTAGTTGGGGCCCCTAGGCAGTAAACAACAATTGTAACAGTAAATAATGTGGAAATATATGTGTTAGTGCATGTTAGTTGTGTAACATGAATAAATGTGTGTATCTGTGCGTGGGAGTCAGTTTCTAGAGATTTATGTATATGGGTATATGGACGGGTGTGGATGTCTGTGGTTGTGCTTTATGGATTTGTATTTCGGCTTCAGGAGTGGGCCTTTAATGGACCCATTGCAGGTGTGATAATGTGTAGTCCTAATTCCATATGTGAAATAAATAACACATAAAATTACCATATAGGCATTTCTGAAATACAAATATTTCTTGGTCTATCATTTCCACAAATTACCACCATTGACAAATGTGAACTGTACTCCATTCACTCATAGATGGAACAGAATCGTTGAACTAATGTTGCATTATACAAAACATTTATACGGGTGATGTGACATGAACAAATCAGGTTTTGTACTTGTCAGACATTGCTCTTGGCAAGTCATTAAGAAAATAGAGCTGAGAGTGGTGAAGATTCTGATTTCCCTTTTGAATTACCCATTATCCCCTGAGAAAATAAAACAGAGCCCCAATTTTGTTTCATGGTTTTAGGTTAAAGAAAAACAGTTACATTGCCATCTTATTTCCCAATATTCTGTTTTACAAATTATATTCTTACTAGCTGTCAACTCACCTGCATTTGAAGTTAAATTCACTTTGACCTACTCACCCTTTTTATCATTCATCCATTTTGGAGAGCAACACAGGCATATGTATATGGCATGGGTGAAACAAATACTGGAATACTGTGTCCGTTTCTGGCATCTACATTTTAAATAGGATGTTGAAAATTTGGAGAGGGTGTAGAAGAGAGCCACAAAGATAATTTGAGGACTAGAGAAAATGCCTTACCACGAGAGGCTTAAAGAGCTCAGTATGTTTAGTTTATCAAAAAGAAGACTGAGACATAATTACGGTGTAGAAGTGTCTTCATCGGGAAACAATGTCAGATAAAAGGGCTCCTTAATTTAGCAGAGAAAGGCTAACAAGAACTAATGTCAGGAAGCTGAAGCCAGAAAAAAATCAAATTAGAAAGAAGGCACACATTTTTATCAGTGAGAGCGATTAACAATTGTAACAAATGACCATGGGAAGAGGTAGATTCTCCATCTTGTGTGGTCTTTAAATTGAGACTAGATGCATTTCTGGAAGAAATGCTTTAGCCAAACATAAGCTATTTAACAAGTTATTGGGCTCAATGCATGCATACTGGGGTGAAATGTAACGGCCTGTGATATAGAGGAGGTTAGAATTAGTCTCAGTCTCTATAAAATTATTGCTGGGATTGAAATGGAGCAGAGTGAGGACTATTGCTTTGATCCTGCAAGTACTTATGCATGTGAATAACTTTACATGTGTGAGTAGTCCCATTCAATTCAGTGGAACTACATACATATGTAAAGATATTTATGTTCATTTATTTGCTGGATTGAAAGAGAGAAGCTGGAGAGAAAGAGAGAACACTGAAGATGAATATTGGAGAAGAAAGTAAAATCACAAAAGGAAAGTGGATTTTTAAAAAGAGTATTTTAAAGAAAATCAAATGTAAAAAGAAATAAAAGTAGCTTCTGGGGCGGGGGAGACAAACAAACTAGAGGAAGTTAAAACATAGGGCCCAATACTAAGCCCATCGACTTCAGAGGGAGCAGGACTCAGCCCACAGGCAGGCTTCTAGATATAGAAAAGAGAAAAAAATGGAGTAATAGGAGACAGAACTTTAAGAAAAACACCACATATGCAAGATTTGCATAAAATAATGAGTGGACTACACTGTTTAGGCAAAGAAGAAACTTCCCTTCCTTTTCCCTCCAATGTCCTTAAAAACAAATTGGGATTTAATTGTTATTATAAAACATTTCTCCAGCGCTGTAAAATCATATGGGGCATTATAAACACAAGTTTAATTCCTACAACCCCTTCTTTCCTGAGCAGGGTCATTGGGGATACTCAGGTGAAGAAGCACTTCTTAGCCCAGCAGTGAATATGTTCTGGTCTTGCAGGAGGTGGGTAACTGGTAGAACTGAGTTCAAAGCTGGCTACTGGGAGCAAGAACAGCTCTCTCTGTTACTGGTAGTGTGACCAGACAGCAAATGTGAAAAATTGGGTCAGGGGTGAGGGGATAATAGGAGCCTATATAAGAAAAAGACACAAAAATTGGGACTGTCCCTATAAAATCGGGATATCCGGTCACCCTAGTTACTGGGATGGGATAGCGGGGCACTCCCCAGAAGCGCTTTGTGGGAGACTCTTATCTCTGTGCGGTGTGCACGGCGGGCACTGCAGTTCCAGAGGGCGCTGTTGGGGCGGCAGGGAGGACGGCACAAGTATGCTCCGCTCTTGATTCTTCTTTGGTGAGAAAGCTTCCTGGGCTGGGTTCAGACAGTCCCCTCTCCACGTGGGTTCACCGGCGGGCAGCTTGACCGGGAGTAGACTGGACGATCTCCAGGGGTGTTCCATTGCCCCGTAACATCGGGGCCCGGGCAGAGAGCTTCGGGCGGCGCGCACATGGAGGAGTCAGTTTTCCTGGAGATCAGGCGGAGGATGCAGAGCGGGCTGCTGATTATCCGGTATTGCAGAGGAGCGGCTGTGTGCGCTTCCCTCTCCCTGCGCGGGGCCGAGCCCCTTACCTTGCTGCCTAGCTGTGCCTGCTCAGGAGCTCCTGCTCACGGGGCTTTTGGAGGCACTGTGGGGACAGCGCATCTGCAAGCGTGGCTGTTGTGGCGGCTGGAGTTCTGTGGTCATTCAGGTGCAACCGCTTGGGTGACAAGAACGTGCCCTCTCCCCAACTTTTACTGTTGTGTTGGCATTTTGATGCACCCAACGCTCCTTGTGTTGCTTGACTGGTGGTTACCTAAGCACAGTCCCCCTTGTGCTTTTAGTCGCTATCCCAGCACCGCGTAATCTCACTAAGTAGTCCTAGTTTCTAATTTTACTCGTAATGTAATTTCTAATCTTAAAAATCATTACATATCAACTGAAAAGCATTTAAATGGTGTTCCTCTATTTACTGAGGTATTTATCTGATTCTGTTTCATATATTCTTTGAATTCTAATCTTAATTGCGCAAATAAACCTGTTTGCCCGGCTTCCCCTCCCTCAACAAATACATAAGTAACTTTCAACAATAACATTTGCAAATGCGTCAAAATCTATTATGTGGGCACTGTACATGATTTGAGAAGTTCAATATCTTGACTGCAGAAATCAGCAAAATGCATTCCATATGTAATGAAAAGTGAAAAATGTGGATGAAAATGAATGAATATCATACTACTTACTATGAATCTTGGAAACAGTTGGCCCAGTGAATTTCAAAGGCACATCAAACCCATACAGAAAGTATTAAAAGTGACTTTTTCCTCTGTGATTTCTGCAAAATACTGTTTCCACATTTAAATGTGTTGGTTTCTTCTAATAAACAAAGGTCTGGTTTTTCTGCCTCCCTCATTGTGTGGTCTGGGAACAGGCAACTACTAACATTAGGTACTGATATTTTCTCTTCTAGTTTTAATCTACTCTGAGGGTTCAGTGGGAATTATATGAGTGCAAGGAATTCAGGTTCAGATACCTTGGACCCAGTTCTATCCACATGCAATTTGATGGGAATTTTGCTGGTGATTTAAATGGGAGAAAGACCGAACATTTTATTTATAATTATTGTGACCCCTCCCACATGATCTTTTAAACATGTAAACATCATACTGTCTCTCATTTTTGTGTAATTTTGATACGTGGCTGGGATTTTTGACAGTTGAAACTATTTTTCCCATCACATTTTGTTTGACGGTTTTAGGTTAAAGAAAAACAGTTACATTGCCATCTTATTTCCCAATAAATAAATCTTGTGTGTACTAATTTGGAGACAAATATTTGTGGATTGTAGAAAAGCATGCATTAATTTTTGGTTTTAATCCATATACATTTCTTAACGTTGGACTCTGCAAAAAATTGCATCATCCACAGCCACAAAATTTAAATAAATAAAAGTCAGAAGCATTTCAACTTTGAGAAAATTTGTTTGTTTAAACAAGTCAACATTATGTATGACTAAACCCTCATTGTAAAGCTTTCTTTCTAACTGATATAAAAATTTATGTGTATTTTAAATCTCTAGTGAGCCAAAAGCAGGAAATTTGCCAGTGGATATTACAGTGGCTCCAGGATCATTAGAAATAAAAAGTTGTCAAGCCTGCAAGATGATCAGCTTTCCTGCAGAGGTCAGGATTGTTCCTTCTTCCTGTCGAGGACTACAGTATATAGTTGGAGATGGTTTACATGTGAGGCTGCAAGTTCGAGCAGATTCAAATACAAGTAAGGGTGATCAATTATTTTGTTTTCCTTTGATTTAGACACTGTCTACCAAATTCCTTGAGAAGAAGAAAAGCAAGGCCATTGTTTAGAAAATATAATTTTTGTTTATGGATAATCTGAGACTTTTTACAAGTTATTTCGAACATATGAGGGAGAAACAAGGTGAGAAAATAACTAGGGCTGTCAAGTGATTAAACAATAATAGAATACTATGTATTTAAATATTTTGGGTTGTTTTCTACATTTTCAAATATATTGATTTCAGTTACAACACAGAATACAAAGTGTACAGTGCTCGCTTTATATTTTTGATTACAAATATTTGCACTGTAAAAAACAAAAGAAATTGTATTTTTCAAATATTTGTAATAAAAATATAAAGTGAGCACTGTACATGTTGTATTCTGTGTTTGAATTGAAATCAATATATTTGAAAATGTAGAAAACATCCCAAAATATTTAATACATTTCAGTTGGTATTCTGTTGTTTAACAGTGCAATTAATCACAATAAATTTTTTAATAGCGATTAATTTTTTTGAGTTAATCATGTGAGTTAACTGCAATTAATTGACAGCCCTAATTTTTCACTATGGCAACTTAGGGCTCCAGTTTTGAAAATGTGGCATATGCTGGCTACTTCTGCATCACATTAGGTAAGTTCAAATTCATCTGCCCACAATGGTACACTTGTAGCTTTGTTTTGATTCAGTCATATTTATTGATTATTTTTAGTTCTCTGTTATAACTGGGAAAATATGCTGTCTGAACTGGCTTTAGTTGTAGTGTTTTCTCTTTGCTGGCCAGCAGAGGGTATTGCTATATTGGAAACTGTCATTTTTTGAGGGAGAGCATGTTTTGTTGCTATGTTATATACCTGTACTTGGTTGACAGTTTAGACTATTGCTCTCCCTCTCCTCCCCACCCCCCCAATATCTAGTGTGGTAAGTTAAGGGAGGCACCATCACACAGCAAAGCCAGAGATCAGTAGAGCTTACATTAACAGGGTTAAGATTTAATTTTATCTAAATGTAACTTTACAAGGATCCTCTTGACCCTGACACAACTTTAGCCCCTCCAACATGAAGCTTGTAAAACTGTTAAAAATGACCATTCAAATACAGCGTGTATTCATTACAGTAAATGCTAGATGCTGTGAATATGGGTCTTCATTCAGCTCTGCTTGCCTGTTCTTTTCTTGTAAGCAGGCAGGATGTTGAAGTGTACAAAGAATTTGGTGTGTGGAATGTCAATATTTTTCTTCTTGCTTGTAGTAGTTAGAATCTCAGCTTTCTGGAGCTAATGAGTGGATACCCAGGTTTTTTATGTGCAAATTTATGTAGATTCAACAGGAACTTGATGTTTATTATGTCCTCTTTAATATCTGTAGAATTAATTTCAACTTTGAGTGAAAGTCTGAAGGCGCAGAAGAGTTGCACCTTTTACTGTCAATCTTGTGGTGAAATCATAATAAAAGAACGGTAAGAAATAGTTTTATGTTTTATATTAATAAATGCTGCATAACATAAGAACATAATGTCCATACTGGGTCAGACCAAAGGTCCAGCAAGCCCAGTATCCTGTTTTCCGACAGTGGCCAGTGCCAAGTGCTTCAGAGGGAATGAACAGAACAGGTAATCATCAAGTGATCCATCTCCTGTCACCCATTCTCAGCTTTTGGCAAACAGAGGCTAGGGACACCATTCCTGCCCATCCTGGCTAATAGGCATTGATGAACCTAGTCTCCATGAGTTTATCTAGTTCTTTTTTGAACCCTGTTATAGTCTTGGCCTTTACAACATCCTCTGGCAAGGAGTTCCACAGGTTGACTGTGCGTTGTGTGAAGAAATACTTCCATTTGTTTGTTTTATATCTGCTGCCTATTAATTTCATTTGGTGACTCTAGTTCTTGTGTTATGAGAAGGAGAAAATAGTACTTCCTTATTTACTTTCTCCACACCAGTCAAGATTTTATAGACCTCTATCATATCCCCCTTTAGTTGTCTCTTTTCCAAGCTGAAAAGTCCCAGTCTTATTAATCTCTCCTCATATGGAAGCTGTTCCATACCCCTAATAATTTTTGTTGTCCTTTTCTGTACATTTTCCAGTTCCTATATATCTTTTTTTTTTAGAGACGAGGCAACCACATCTGTGCAGTATGCAAGATGTGAGCGTACCATGGATTTATATAGAGGCAATATGATATTTTCTGTCTTATTATCTATCCCTTTCCTAATGTTTCCTAATATTCTGTTAGGAGTGGTTGCTATTCGTGTTAATCATGCACTAAGATGGACAGGTTAAAAGTCATATTTTTAAAAGCCTCCTCATCTGTTACTCATGTACACCAGAGATTGTTAAAAGTGAAATTATCTGAAACAAATCTTTCATCATTTACGCTATTTGTTTACTTTTGGAATGTCACTCAAAGTGGAAAATAACAAGAGACTAGGGGAGACAATGTGTTTCAGTGGTTAGGGCACTGGACAGGAATTTAGGAGATCTGGGTTCCTTTCCTGGCTCTTCACTGTAGCAGACAAGTCATTTTGTCTGTCTGTGCCTCAGACTCCCTATCTGTGGAATGAGGATGATGAGTCTTATTCTCTTCTGTGTTTTGAGGTATAGGGCTTTTCATCCATAGATAAGAGGTAAGTGTATTTATTAGTCAGTTTCCTTTTCTGGTTGTCCTACACTAACAAAGCACTTCAGTATTTTGTATTGCAAATACTGCAGGGAAAGTTTAAGTCAAAGAGATTGTTTAAGAAATGTTAATGGTTATTAATTAATTATAGCTTTAGGAGTCCTTTTTTAATATAAATGTATACATGTTTTTGTTTCCTTCTGCATTTCGGGAATCCTGTTTGATTCTGCTCATTCTGTCCTATAAATTCTCCCTTGTCAACAAGTTGTACTTCTAATGTGACCAACCAGAGTAGGTGTTGGTGGAAAGCTACCTTTTGTCTCCCAGGGAAAGGGTAAAATTAGCCCTTTGCCCTGAAAGTTATAGAGTCATAATAATGAAGTATAATACAATTTTTCTGAAGAGATTTTCTGTAGTGGTTAGTGTGCTTCTGTGGAACCCCATGTGCTGAGCACCTTCTACTACAGGACTTGAAGAAGCTTGGCACGTGGAGGATGGGGCCTGTGCCCAGTAACATCTGTCGCTGTTAGGACACTCTCTCCCATTCCCCCTGTTCCCAAGATTTCAAAATCCTAAATCCGAACTCCTCCAAACTTGGGAAAATTAATATCTCGAGCTGAACTTTTTATTGGACTCCTACAGCTAAATGGGCCAAATCGGCTTCCCAGATTTGAGCAGTCCTGAACCTTCAGAAGTGTGTAAGCTGTACCTGAACTTTGTGTGTCTGCCTTATCTCTCTCTCTTACAAAGTCTGCAGATTGACCGTGAATTTTAGTGCAGAGTTGCTGGGTTGTCTGGCTGTTGTGATGAGCAATTTGACAGCTTCAGCTGAACATGTGCACATTCTAACAGACGTACTTGCTATCTTTTAGGATCTGTGTCACTCCTAATATTCAAATTGGCAATTCAAATGTAATCCGTTTCTATTATATTGCCATCAGCTGTACTAATTTATGACTTACTCGAGTGTAACCAAATGATGATTCCATGGCTTTTCCTTATGAAGTGTTTTAGCAGCTAATTTGTGTTTTATTTTTATATATTTAAAGAATGACCAGAACTTTTTAAGTTCTTGTCAGTAGTATTTGTGATATTTTCAGTTGAATGCTATCAGCGGCATTTCCATCCCCAAATAAACATTTTCAAATTTTAATTTATTTACTATATGTATATGCATGGATACTGCATTCTTCTCCACGCCTGAGCACACAGAAGATCAAATTGGAATAAAAGGGTGAAGTGTGTGGAGCGTGGCAGTGGCTCTCCACCATGCTTTTCTCCTTTCAGGAAGCCTCTGGTGCTTGGTTTGGCTACACAGATCTGGAAGGTATGACAGGATGGAGCAGGGTAGCTGCCACTGTATCTGGTGTTCTCCTTTCCCACACTGCCTCATTTCCAAGCTGAAGTCAGTATTGTAGTTAATGCTGTTAGAAACAACATTAGTTCCCTCTGGCTTTGGCATCACCAGAGAGAGGGGTAGCGTATGACAGCTTGTGATAACATAGATGTTGGGGGTGGGGGGGAGGGGAAAGAAGGTTGTAGAGATGTGTGGAGGGCAGGTTTTCCTTGCAGATGATCAGAGATCCACTGGATTAGAGCCTGATTCTTTCCACGAGTCTCATGGCTCTCCAGAGATACAGAATCATGCCCTCTGCCCCTTCCATACTACCCAATGTAGGGAAGATTGTCAGATTTTCCATGGCCTGAAAGCTGCAGAGATTTTAGCATGCTTTTTTCTTTCCTGCTGATTATACTGTAGAAGAGGAGGTTATAGACAAAAAGTACGCCTTTCAGGGCTTTGGTTCTGTCATTCAGTAGCTTTCAGAGAGTAGAGCAGAATGTAATTTAAATTAATTTTCATGAATTATCTTTTAAGGAGATTGCCCTTTCCATTAGGCCAAAAAATTATTTTTGCTACACAAGTGCTTTATATGTGCATTGAAAAATCAAATGCAGAATCAAGTATTTTTTAATTATTGCATTACATTTACTGTTATGACTGAATTCCCAAGTTTTATGTGTAGAGCAAACATCTGACTACTTAATTTATATTAAAGAAAGGTATCAAGTATCAGAGGGGTAGCCGTGTTAGTCTGAATCTGTAAAAAGCAACAGAGGGTCCTGTGGCACCTTTAAGACTAACAGAAGTATTGGAGCATAAGCTTTTGTGGGTGAATGCCCACTTCATTAGACGCAAGTAATGGAAATTTCGAGAGGCAGGTATAAATCCGTATGGAGATAACGAGGTTAGTTCAATCAGGGAGGGTGAGGTTCTCTGCTAGCAGTTGAGGTGTAAACACCAAGGGAGGAGAAACTGCTTCTGTAGTTGGATAGCCATTCACAGTCTTTGTTTAATCCTGATCTGATGGTGTCAAATTTGCAAATGAACTGGAGCTCAGCAGTTTCTCTTTGGAGTCTGATCCTGAAGTTTTTGTGCTGTAAGATGACTACCTTTACATCTGCTATTGTGTGGCCAGAGAGGTTGAAGTATTCTCCTACAGGTTTTTGTATATTGCCATTCCTGATATCTGACTTGCGTCCATTTATCCTCTTGCGTAGTGACTGTCCAGTTTGGCCAATGTACATAGCAGAGGGGCATTGCTGGCACATGATGGCAAATATAACATTGGTGGACGTGCAGGTGAATGAGCCGGTGATGTTGTAGCTGATCTGGTTAGGTCCTGTGATGGTGTTGCTGGTGTAGATATGTGGGTAGAGTTGGCATTGAGGTTTGTTGCATGGGTTGGTTCCTGAGTTAGAGTTGTTATGGTGCAGTGCGTGGTTGGCGGGTTGTCTGTGGGCGAGGACTGGCCTGCCTCCCAAGGTCTGTGAAAGTGAGGGATCATTGTCCAGGATGGGTTGTAGATCACTGATGATGCGTTGGAGAGGTTTAAGCTGAGGACTGTAGATGATGGTTCTGTTGGTTTCTTTTTTGGGCCTGTTTTGTAGCAGGAGGCTTCTGGGTACACGTCTGGCTCTGTTGATTTGTTTCTTTATTTCCTTGAGTGGGTATTATAATTTTGAGAATGCTTGGTGAAGATCTTGTAGGTGTTGGTCTCTGTCTGAGGGGTTGGAACAGATGTGGTTGTACCTCAGCGCTTGGCTGTAGATGATGGATCGTATGGTGTGTTTTGGGGTGGAAGCTGGAGACGTGAAGGTAGGCATAGCAGTCAGTGGCTTTTTGGTATAGGGTGGTGTTAACGTGGTCATCGCTTATTTGTACTGTGGTGTCTAGGAAGTGGACCTCCCGTGTAGATTGGTCCAGGCTGAGGTTGATGGTGGGGTGGAAGCTGTTGAAATCATGGTGGAATTTTTCCAGGCTCTCCTTCCCATGGGTCCAGATGATGAAGATGTCATCAATGTAGCATAGGTAGAGAAGGGGCGTGAGTGGACGAGAGCTGAGGAAGCGTTGTTCCGGGTCAGCCATAAAAATGTTGGCATATTGTGGGGCCATGCGAGTGCCCATGGCGGTGCCACTGGTCTGGAGATATATATTGTCACCAAATTTGAAATAATTGTGCATGAGGATAAAGTCACAGAGCTCAGCAACAAGTTGTGCTGTGTCATCATCAGGGATACTGTTCCTGACAGCTTGTATTCCATCTGTGTGTGGGATGTTTGTG